GGGGGTGGTGGTGCCAACTTGCCTTTGGCAGCAGCAAGCTAAAGTGACAGCTCTGACTGCTTCTGGCCCCAGGCCTCAGGGAGAACGGAGCAACATATGCCCCAAGGTGTACCTGTGGGCCCAGCTTCTCATGGCTCTCCATGAAGTGCATTCACTTTGCCTGCCTTGGGCCCTGGCCCTGATGATCACAGGTTCACACAGTGTCCACTGAGAAAGAGTGGGAGGAAACAGCTCACTTCTCTCTCAGCTTTGCCTCCACACTGGTCTCCAGGGTTTTCCCTTCCCCCAGGGGTGAGTCAAGCTGGGACCTCTTTACCAGGAGTAGCTGGTAGTGAGCAACTGAGTAAATTGAGGAAGAACTTGCAAGGAGCTTTCCATGCCCTTCCTGCTGCTTAGCCTCACCACCCCCTTCCCTCAGAGTGGCTCTCTGCAGCCTTCTGTTCCTGCTACTGAGGATCCTTTGCCCAAGCCAGTAGGTTCTTGGTCACCCTCTGCGTTCTGCCCTGTCCCATCCGGGGGGAGTAGCAGCTTCACCCTAATTCTTGTGCTTACCTGGCTTACTCTCAACAGATGGTCTCTAGTGACTGCAGCATTCCCCACTCTTGGAATTTCCTATCTTCTGCTTCCCTTCCTTATTCCCTTTGGTTTTATGGGGAGAGGAAGCATCAGGGGTCCAGGCCAGCCGCTTGGGGGTCACAGGGAGATGTTGGACAATGTGCCTGTTTTTTAACTCGATAAAAAAGCCTACCTCCGTAATCCCCTTTTTGTTCTTCCTGGACCTGGGTATTCAGCTCCTGCCCTTAACTGAATTGAGAGTCTCTGCCTCCTGTTCTGTGGATCCTGGGTCCTGGGTCACAGGGAAGCCACATAGACATCCCTTTCTTCCCTTGCACGCTCACTAGCAGCTGGTAAGGTCTTCACACCCCGATAACTCGGTTTTCTGCTTGGTAACACTTACGTAGTGGGAGGGATACTCCATGCTAGGACACCCTGGTGTGGCCTTCCCCTTGGCCATGGGCAGGCCCTCATTCACTGTTGCTTTGGAGTTGTGTCTTTTTTCTTTCTTTAGTTCCCGTATTCTAAACATTAGTACAAATAAACATTTTTACACAGAGCCTTCTACTGAATGGTTTATCTCCTGAATCCCTTTCCTGGTGATGATGGCCACTTCATTCTAAAACAGTCGTGGGCAAACTACGGCCCGCGGCCCGGATCCGGCCTGTTTGAAATGAATAAAACTAAAAAAAAAAAGACCGTACCCTACTATGTAATGATGTTTACTTTGAATTTATATTAGTTCACACAAACACTCCATCCATGCTTTTGTTCCGGCCCTCCGGTCCAGTTTAAGAACCCATTGTGGCCCTCGAGTCAAAAAGTTTGCCCACCCCTGTTCTAAAACTTTCTTAGGACTGTGAGGTCTTTTAATTTTTTTTACTTTATTGATTTTAGAAAGGAAGGACAAGAGAAAGAAACATCGGCATGAGAGAGAAACATTAATTAGTTGTCTCCCGTATGCACCCTGACCAGAGATTGAACCCACAACTTAGGTATGTTCCCTGACTGGGAATTGAACCTACAATCCTTCGGTGCACAGGAGGACACTCCAACTGAACCACACCACCCAGGGCAGGACTGTTTCTTAATGTTTTGAAATACAGCTTTTTCTCCCAAATTAATTTTTTTTTTTTTCCAAATTAAAATTTTTGATGAACTCCACTCTGTGAAGCAGATAGAAAATCGGGTACTTTAATTTCTTATTAAAGTCAGGTTATAACAGTTCCTTGTTATAAAGAACAATGAATTGCCCTAGCCGGTTTGGCTCAGTGGATAGAGCCTCAGCCTGCAGACTGAAGAGTCCCAAGTTCGATTCCGGTCAAGGGCACATGCCTGGGTTGTGGGCTTTATCCCCAGTAGGGGATGTGCAGGAGGCAGCCAATCAATAATTCTCTCTTATCATTGATGTTTCCATCTCCCTTCTTCTCTGAAATCAATAAATATGTTTTAAAGAAAAAAGTTGTCAAGGTTCATCCATGTTACATGTAGCATCTATGAGGACTTTAAAAAAAAAATGAAGTTGTTTTGATTAATACAGAATTTGTAGCCCTGGCAGGGTGGCTCAGTCAATTGGAGCATAGTCCCATACACCAAAAAGATTGCAGGTTCAATTCCTGGTCAGGGCACATATCCTTGGGTGAGGATTAAAAAAACACACAATAAAGTTTGGGTTTAAATCAACTTTAGCATTCTATTTACTTCTGTATTTTGATTGATTTGGAGGAAATTCAGCTAAACTTATATACACAAGTGGTGACAGGTTTGTAACAGTTTACCTTGCAATTTGAGATACTTAAAACGGGGTCCGGAAGCTTATGATGTAAATGAGAGAATGACACAGGAAACCTATTGACATCATGATGGGACACATGAAAGCTTTTCATAGGAGTAATGAGCATGAGCAGAGGCAGCTCAGCCACACGTGCCGGTTCATTTGAGTGCAGTGTGCATGAACTCGGCTGGGATGCAGGACTGCAGCCTTCCTCTGGGCGTGGTTATGTGCAGTTTTCTTTCCCTGAAGCCAGCATGTAGACAGCTTCCATAGTGGATCTTACTAAAGATTTGAATCAATCTGTTACGAACCCTCAAAATACTTTAGGGTTTCCTGGAACAGTCTGAAAGCCCCTGTTACCTAATACAGTGGCCTGGGTCACTGCCGTTAGTAAGCAGGGTGCCCTGGGCTGGGAATTGTGTTAGGACAAGAACGCAGCCTCTGTCCTCACGCTTTCACACGGAAGTAGGCCAGGAGTAGAGGGACTAAAGCAATGATCTTTAGTGGCTGAGTGCCGGGGTCCAACCCCAGTGGGTCCAGGGGTCCCCAAAGGTGTGGACGGAGTCGGCGAAGAAGGAATGACACGGAGACATCGTTCAGTTGATCAGCAGCCTAGCCAGGATCTCTAGCCAGGATCTCCAGCCAAGTTCTGGTCTGGATCTCCAGCGAAGTTCTGGTTAGGACCTCCAGCCAGGTTCTGTGTCCATGTTCTCTTGCTAGGTTCTCCAGGTTCTCCAGCCAGGTTCTGTAGCCATGTTCCCTCGCTAGGTTCTCCAGCCAGGTTCTGTGTCCATGTTCTCCAGCCAGGTTCAGTTACCAGGTTCTAGTCAGGTTCTCTTGCCAATTTCTGTAGTCAGGTTCAGTCCAGGATCTTTTGCCATGTTCTCTCGCTAGGTTCTGTCTTTAGGTTCTGAGGCCAGTTTCTGTCCAGGATCTTTTGCCATGTTCTCTCCAGCGAAGTTCTTCTGTCTCTAGAGAACGTTCTGTGTAGGTTCTGTGCCTAGGTTCTGTCTTCTTCTGGTTCTGTCTTCTTACATCTGTATTTATACCAGTTGGTTCCAATCCTATCAATCTCTATTTCAAAGGTTAGGGCGTTTCTTATCTCCATTCCAGGGAGTAAAGATTATGTAGCTTAAGCATGATTGTTCGTAGTTAAAGTGATTAATTACCCACCTGGTACTTAGTTAAGAGGTTTTATTCCCTCCCTAACTTCAGGGGAAAATCCCTACCTGGGGAAACAACCTTTCTCAGAGACCTTGGTTAAAACACATAGTGCCAAGAAGGTGAGCAAACATATTAAGAACAGTATGCCATATATGCCAGGTCCCTTGAAACAGCAAGTATGGACCGGCTCCCGGCAGCTGAGCAGCCTAAGGGGCAGAAAAGAAATGGGGAAAAAAAGGGGGACTTTACTAGTATAGCAAGCATACTAGTAAGTGAGGAAATTCGGAAAGGGTTTGCAGGAGATGGGTTTGCAGGAGATGGGTTTCCTGTATCATTCTCTTACATTTAGGATGGGACACAGAAGGATAGGGGCAGGATTGAGGTGGGGAGAAAGCCTATGAGAGGAGAGAGGGGGACTCCGCTGTGAGGGAAGGAAGGGACGCTGGGAAGCAGGTGAGCTCCAGAGCCGGGGGCCTTGGAGCCCAGGTGAAGGTACCTACATGTAATTGCATGGATCAGACCCAGGCAGAACTGCAGGTTACTAAGGAAGGGAATGCTCATACATCTTGGGTTTAGAAACTTGAATCTTGCCAACAGATACCCAAACTAGTGAAAATTAGTCCTTACACGCCCTCAATCAGAACTGGCCCCAGGCAAATCGTTTCTGGGGCCGGGTGGCGGCTGAGGCTAGCGCTGTCCATGGTAACGGCTCTTAGTGAAACGCTTGCTTCCATTTTCTCAAACCACTTCGTGAGGGTCATCAGCCCTGTTTGGTAGATGAGGAAGCTGAGGCCAGGGAGGCCTTGGGACACCGAGTCTGCTCTCCGGCCCCCACGCTGCCCCGAGGTCGTCAGGCCCCGAGGCCGGGTCCCAGCTGCTGGAGGAGCCGCGAAGGCTCTCAGCTGAGCCTGCCCTGTCCCCCGCGCGCTGGAAGCCCCGCCCCCCAGACGGCTCGACGAACCGCCACTTCCGCGACGTCCAATGAGACTTAGCCGGAGGCGGGACCGGTCGTCGCTGAGGGCCAATCTGATTGGTCGTGGGCGGGGCTGGGCGGGTGGGAGCGGGCGGCCGCACTGCTGTCTTCTCAGCCGGGAGAGCCCGGCGCGGGAGGCGCGCATGAGGTCCTGCTGTGCGCGCGCCCGCCGCTCGCTGGCCGCGCGGCCCCTCGGCCCTCTTCGCCCTCCGGGTCGTGGCACCCGTCCCTCCCCTCCTCTCCCGTCGCCGCCCGGACCGGGACTGGGGAGACGGGCAGGGGCAGGGCGGGAGCCGCGGGACGAGCGCCTGAGGTGGGTGCGGAGCGGGAGGCGGGGAGGCCCAGCGGGGAACTCCGGGTCTGGCCGGAGGACGGACCCCGCGTCGAGGCGGGAAGAGGCCGGCCAGGTTGCGGAGCCTGCTCCCGGCCGGCCTAGGTCTCGGGCGCTCGAGCCCGCGCCCAGATACCCTCCCCAGCCCCCCCCCCCCCCCATTAATGACACCCGCCCTCCAGCTGCCGTGGCCTCATCACCCCTCTTGCCCTTTGTCGTCTGTGCACCTGCCCTCTCGGCCTTGTGCTCCCATTTACTCTCCAGACCGGACCCCCGCCCCGCCGAGCTCCTCGGGACCCAGCCCCATCCCTCTCTCTCTTTGTCATCTGTACACCTGTCACCTCAACGCTGTCCCTCCACTCCACCACCCCGTCTTCCAAGGTCTTATCTAGAGCCAGCCCGGGCCGTCTCCCGCCTTTTCCTCCCCCGGATTCCTCCCCCAGCCCTGACTGTCTGACCTCCAACTGCCCCACTCAGCCCGAGCCCCCTGTTCCCCCACCAAACTCCTTTGTTGGCTCTGCAGCTGTCCCCTTGGCCCTACTCATCTTCGTCCCCCAATTATACCAAACCCCAGCCCAGACGCCCCTCCCCTGACCAGTGAGCCACCCCCTCGCCAGCTGTGCTCTGGCATTCCTCGGGGTCAGTGCCCAGCCCACTGCTCGCTCAGCCTAGCCATGTCCCTTCCTCCTTCAGCCCAGCCCTCACACCCTCTCACCCTTTCCCAGATGGCCCAATTTTCTCCCCCACAGGTGCCCTGGAGAAGCCATGGAGTTGAGCAGCAAGAAGAAGCTACATGCCCTATCCCTGGCTGAGAAGATCCAGGTGCTGGAACTCCTGGATGAGTCCAAGATGTCCCAGTCGGAGGTGGCCCGGCGCTTCCAGGTCTCCCAGCCCCAGATCTCACGCATCTGCAAGAATAAGGAGAAGCTGCTGGCAGACTGGTGCAGCGGCACAGCCAACAGGGAGCGCAAGCGCAAGCGGGAGTCCAAGTACAGCAGCATCGACGAGGCTCTGCTCTGCTGGTACCACATTGCCCGGGCCAAGGCCTGGGACGTGACGGGGCCCATGCTGCTCCACAAAGCCAAGGAGCTGGCTGACATCATGGGCCAGGATTTCGTGCCCAGCATCGGCTGGCTGGTCCGCTGGAAACGCCGAAACAATGTGGGCTTTGGGGCCCGCCATGTGCTCACACCTCCGTTTCCCCCCGAGCCACCTCCTTCAGGCCTCACGTCCCAGACCCAGCTGCCTCTTTCCCTGAAAGACTTCTCCCCAGAGGATGTTTTTGGCTATGCTGAAGTGCCCTTGCTGTATCGGGCAGTGCCCGGCACAGTGGGTACAGGTGATCAAGTACAGGTGCTGCTGTGTGCCAACACCAGGGGCACAGAGAAGCGACGGGTACTGGTCAGTGGGCTCCAAGCTGCACCAAGGTGCTTCTTTGGGGTCAGCAGTGAGGCTCTGCCTGCCTCCTACCACCCTGACCTGGGCATCCCCTGGTCAGAGTGGTTGGCACAGTTTGACCGGGACATGGGGAGGCAGGGCCGACAGGTAGCCTTGCTGCTGGCTGCCCAAGTGGCGGGGAAGTTGGCAGGCCTGTCTGGGCTCTGCCATGTGAGGCTCCTGCCTCTTTCTACCGCTAGCACCACACGTTCCCTGCCCAACTCTGTGGTCCGGGCCTTTAAGGCCCATTACCGGCACCGTCTGTTGGGCAAGCTGACAGCTGGCCAGAGCGAGAGGGCTGGCACATCGCTGGCCGAGGCTGGGGCAGGCATCACAGTGCTGGACACTCTGCACATGGTGGCGGCTGCCTGGGCCAAGGTGGCTCCGCAGTCCATTGTAAGCAGCTTCATTCAGGAAGGCCTGGCTCCCAGCAAAATGCCCCTGTCCCTGGACAAAGCCTCTGAGCTGCCACCCGTCCCCTGCGGCCTGAGCCTCGAGGAGTTCTCCCGCTTTGTGGACCTGGAGGGTGAGGAGCCCATACCTGGAGTGTGCAAAGAGGAAGTGGACACTAAAGATGAGGGGGCTGGTGAGGACAGCTTCGAGCCCCTGCCCACCAAAGCCGACGCGCTCCAGGCCCTGGGCACGCTGAGGAGGTGGTTTGAGTGCAATGGCACCTCCCCGGAGCTATTTGAAAAGTTCTATGCCTGTGAGGAGGAGGTTGAGCGGCTCTGCTGCCTGTAAAGGCCCTGCTGCTCCCCAGAGCCCCTTCCTCTCCTGTTTCCCATGGAAACGCCCTCGCAGAAGGCAGATTGGAGGCTGGTCTGTTTCCCATGGAAATGGAGCTTTTGCGAAAGGTGTAGAAGGAAGACAAGTTGAGACACCAAGTCTAAGCTCTGAACAAGTTATCCAAGCCCAGAGAAGAGGGGTCCAGGGGTGGGTGGCGTTAGGGGCCTGAAGCTAGGCTACGTAGTTTCTGAACCTCTAGGGAGGCTGGGACTAGGGAAGGTGGAATCTGGGCTTTACAGACAGGCCGGTGCCTTGAACTCTCTGTTAAAAACAGTTCTGCTTCTGAAAATAAAGTTTTTAATGAGAAAAGAGGCCAGGGTGTAATTTTCAGGGGAGAAGGATGGAAACTTTCAACTCGGATTTTTATTTTAATCCTCCCCTGAGGATATGTCTATTGATTTGAGAGAGAGTAACATTGATGTGAGAGAGGAACATCGATCAGTTGCCTTCTGTGCTCGCCCTGACCGGGGATCAAACTTGGAACCTAGGTATGTGCCCTGATGGGGAATCGAACCCGAAACCTTTTGATGTACAGATGGGACGATGATCCAACCAACTGAGCCACTTGGCCAGGGCTCAGCTCTGATTTTTAACTTGGCTGCTGAGGGTTGCCACCACACAGCTCTCTGGAGCTGTCTGCAGATGACCATAGGGGTCCTCTTCTCCCAGCAGGAGGGAACCCCTGGGCAGGGGGACTCTCATCAGCTAGCAGACAGATCCCAAGAATCGCTCCGCACTTTCTGCTGCTCTGCTGACTTCACTGTCAGATTGCGGGAGGGGAGGTGATGTGAGGAAGGAGGGAGGCAGGCTCGGGACTTCCTAGGGATACAGAACGGAGCCAGAACTTGGAATAGTCGCCGGTTCTTTTTCTTTTTCTGTCATTCATTTGATCATTTCACAACATCTCTTCAGCAAGACCTGCGTGACGGAGGAGGTTGCAAAGATGATGCCCCTGCTGGGCAGGACCTTGCAGACAATGACAGTGGAGTGTGATTATATGCAAAGTGCTGTGGCCCTGTAGAGCCTGGGAGACTCCTGGAGGAGGTGAGTGCCGAGCTGTAGCTGGAAGGGCAGACAGGAATGGGAAGGATATTCCAGGCCAAGGGGCGGGGGCACGGAGTCAGGCATTCCCACCAGAGCCACGGGGAGGCCCCGAGAGCAGGAGGGGCAATTAGCCCAGCAGGCTTAATGGTGGGGCACCCCAAGGGTTTCCATTAGAAAAGAACAGGTCGTTTGTGGGGTTCTAGAAAACAGACATGGAAGGTGGGTCAGAGATGTGAGACCCAGAGGCAGAGAGACTGACTGGTCCAGACGGGGAAGCCTGAGCCAGATGGTGAGAGTAAGATGGCAAGAGGATGCTTTTACCTGGAAGGGATGTGGGCTTTGAACGCAGACAGACTCTGACTGGTGAGAAGTCCAGCTCCAGGCAAAATCCTCCGTGTTCAGGCCGACCACAGGCAGTCACAACTGTGCATGCAAGTTTGTGGAGGGTATTGCAGTCAGGACTCAGGCCGCCCAGGGCAGCCCCGCTTATACCTGCATTCACCCAGGCTCTTCCTTCTCTAAGGAAGGCCTCTGTCTCCACTGTCTCCACTTTTGCCCAGTACCTTTCATTCCCAGCCCTTCCCTCCCTTCCCCATCCATGGTGCATAAAGAGGCAGGAGCCTTGTATTCAGGGGGCTCCTGACAGGAGACCGTCCTGGTCTGCCTGGCATCTCATTTGACCCTCGCCTGGTGCGGTTCCACTGGGCGAAAGGGAACCCGGGAGGTGGCGCCTCTGCCTCTTGCTTGTACCGTCACAGGAAGTGAGTAAAGGCCGATGGATCCTTCCAGTGTGACTCATCCTCACTGACCACAACACCTGGCAGCTGGACAGTGACAGCGACTCACTTTTAAACAGTTCCGAAGCCACCTACTGGCTTCCTTCTCTAGCCTAAATTCTCAAGTCATTTAGCCTTTCCTCACAGATTCTACTTTTTTTCTACCCTGTATTCATTTACATTGTCCTTTTTCTGAAATCATCCCAGTTCTGACATACCTTTTAAAATGTTACACCAAAATTATACAGGCTCTAAAACCCTGACCAAAGCAACCGAGAGGGGATAGATTAGCTCTCAGTTCTTGGGTGTCGATTTCCTCTTACATGAGCAGCATCATGTAACAGCGTTTTATTGCTGACTTCTTCCCAGAGCTTTCTTTGAAAGCCACAAGTAGTCTCTCCCTTTCTGGCACTGATATCACATATCACACTTGCCTATCTGTAGGCAACGTTGGTGGCTCATTCAAGCAGTGCTTACTGAATGCCTTGCTTGTGGGGCAGGCCCTGTTCTAGGACCATAAGCTCTTGTTGAACAAGACAGAGAGGACTCCTTCCTTTCCGGTAGAGGGAGATAAAGATGCAGGCAAATGAATAAGCGCAGTGAGTTTAAATGGGGATGTGTGCCAGGGAAAATGAAGAATGATGCCACAGCCCTAACCAGTTTGGCTCAGTGGATAGAGCGTTGGCCTGCGGACTGAAGGGTTCCAGGTTTGATTCCAGTCAAGGGCATGTACCTGGGTTGTGGGCACATACCCAATAGAGAGTGTACAGGAGGCAGCTGATCGATATTTCTCTCTCATCAATGTTTCTAACTCTTTATCCCTCTCCCTTCCTCTCTGTAAAAAATCAATAAAATATATTTTTTTAAAAAGAATGATGCCACAGAGAGTGGCTGTGAGAGGTGAGTCAGGGAGATGACGTTTGGGCCAAGTCATAAAAGATAACAAGGAAACAGTCATTGTTCCGAAGGAAGGGTGTCCTCTGCAAAGGGAACAGTAGGCACACACCTCGAAGGCCAGAAACAGCTCGACAGGTTTAAGAAGCAGAAAGACGGCGCCGTGGCTGCAAGTGAGAAAGGGCCAATAGGAGGAGGGTGGAGGGGTGGGCAGGGGCCTCTGAGCCAACAGTATTTACATTTTATTCTAAATAGACAGGAAATATTAGTTTGGGGGTGGAGGGAGATGGAGACAAAGGAAGAACATGATATATTTTATATTCTAAAAAAATCTAATTCTAGTTGCTGTGTGAAAAACATGGGAAGGTGGGGAGCAAAGGTGGAAACCAGAAAACCAAGTCAGGAAGCTGCTGAGTTGGTGGGACTGCCTCATGGATAGAGCATCAGGTATGAAGGGGTGAGAAGAACCAAAGAGGACTATTTCCAACAGATCAAGTGTTTTAAAATCAAGGTCAAGGCAGTCCTATTCAATTTTGCAGGCACTGCCATATGCAAAGTAAGGGGTGGCAAAAAATAGTATGTACATTATTTCAGTTTCCTTACAAGCTTGTAACAGACACCCTCTATGTTCAGAAAGCATACAGGCTCCAGGGCAGCAAAGAATAAGGCACAGTGCCTGTTCCTAGGTGCTCACTAGAGGGAGGGATAGCAAGTGACTGACTATACAGGTCAGTCGTGTGGATTAGACAAATTTATAAAGTGTTTTCTACTTGCCAGGCACTATTTTATTTTATTTATCTTTATTGTTGGGAGTATACCAGGTACTATTTTAATCACTATGCATCGTCATCATCAGTCTTGAGAAGATGATGGACTGGATGCAGAGTCCAGAGGCAGAAAGATGGGTCCCATCTTCTGATATCTCTGCATTGTACCCGAGTTCCTTCCCATCTACCTTCAGTTCTCTTCAGCTGTGACAGTTCTCTGGGTGTTTTTTGTTTTTTGTTTTTTTTCAAATATTTAGAATAATTTTTATACTGTCTTTTATTTATTTTTATGCATTTAAATATTTTATGCATGGTTACTTTCTGTATCTGATAAGCCTAATATCTGAAATGCTTGGGGGGGCTAAATCTGTTGTGTGTGTTTTGTACTCGTGCTTTAATTCATGGTGGCTTATTTTCCCTGTGGGTCTGATAATTTTTATTGTGGGAATTTTTTTAAAATATATTTTATTGATTTTCTTTTTAGTGTGGGAATTTTTTTAATTGGTTGCACTTTATCTCTGGAAAACCTCAAGATCCTGATTTAGACTGCTCACCTATAGAAAAAAATTGTAGTTGCTCCAATAAGGCACAAGGGGGCGCTGACACCATGATAAATTAATTTCTGGGAGGAAGGTGTCCCAGACCTGAAGTACCATAAGGTAATGGAACAGGCATGTGGTTGGTTCCTGGTTCACAGGAGAGCCGATCTTATTCTTAATTGTTCCCCACCACACACACAGAGGCATATTTCTTTGTGGGTTCTCTTTACTGGTGGGTGGAAGTTTTCTGGTCTATGCTTTTGCTAAAAGTGTAGCCCCTTCCAGATCTTGACTTAACTTATGAGACTTGGGTTCAGCTGGGATTCACAGTCTATGAGTCTCCTGTGTGGTTCTTTAATCTTCAAGGTCAAGGTATTAGCATTTGCCCCAAGGGCAGCTTTGGAGACAACCTGGTTTACACTCTGTTGTTTGAAGGGGTCCTTGTGAAGTTCCCTCACTATTGGCAAAGTTAGTGATGGTTCTTAAATTATGTTTGTTGTACTGGATCTAGAGTTAGCTGCTTAATGATAGGCGGGATCTACATAAAGTCTAGAGCCCTGGCCTGACAGAAGGGAAGTTGGGAAGAGCAGTTTTCTTTCATTCTTTCATTCACTTGTTCAAAATTATTTATTGAGCACCTCTGTATGCCACCTAGAGTCAAAGTCACTGCTTTATGGAGCTCATAGTTTAGAGAAGAGACAGTTATAATCAAAGTCACACAAATGAAAGTATATAATTACAGAATGGAAGGACAGACAGCTAAATCTGTTGTGTGTTTTTTGTTCTGATGCTTTAATTCGATGGTGGTTTTTTCCCCTGTGGGTCTGGACATTTTTGTTGTGGGAATTTTTCCCATGTGGGTCTGGTAATTTTTGTTGTGGGAATTTTTCCCCTGTGGGTCTGGTAATTTTTGTTGTGGGAATTTTTTAAATTGGTTGCACTTCATCTCCGGAAAACCTCAAGATCCTTGTATGCTAAGCAACCAAGAGAAGGTGAATGCTCAGAGCCTTGTGGACTGTGGAAGGAGCTTGCCCAGATTGCTCAGAATAACAGGAAGCTATCAAGGGGGACAAAGGAGTAGGGTAACTTGATCAAAATTGCATTTGAAAAAGTTGAGTTATTGTCCAGATTCAGGACAGGAGCGGGGCTGTAGTACAGGCACACCTGGCTTTATTGCCTTTCACGGATGTTGCACTTCTTACAAATTGAAGGTAAGACCCTCCACCGGCAAAAAGATTATGACTTGCTGAAGGCTCAGATGATAGCATTTTTTTTTAGCAATACGGTTTTTTTGGTGGCAGCGGTGGGATCAATAGGTGTTTTAAAATTAGGGCATGTGCATTGGTTTTTAGGCATGATGCTATTTCACACAATAGACTACAGTATTATGCAGAAACAACTTTTATATGCACTGGGAAACCAAAAACCTCATGTGACTTGCTTTATTGCAATATTCGCTGTATTTCAGAGGTCTGGAACCACGCCCACAGTATTCCTGAAATATGCCCTTGTTAGGATTGGAAAGAAGGGAGTGAGTCCTAGGAAACTTCAGGTTAACATGAGTTGGAGGCTCCTTTGAAGCAGGAGGGGAGGGGAGGGAGAGCTTCTTTGAGATGTGGGGCCTGAAGGCTTCCCTCTGCCACAGGGCACGGCAGCAGGAGCAGGCGCCTTTGGGTGGATGCTCAGGGATCTGTGACCAGAGGTGGCAGTGTGTGCCTGGAGCTCAGGACAGTGGTCAGACAGAGACACCAATTACGAGTGACTCCTCTTTTTTTAAAAAAAAAAATATTTTTTATTGTTTTCAGAGAGGAAGGGAAAGGGAGAGAGAGATAGAAACATCAATGATGAGAGAGAATCATTGATCGGCTGCCTCCTGCATGCCCCCTACTGGGGACCAAGCCCACAATCCAGGCATGAGCCCTGACTGGAAATCAAACCATGACCTCATTCATAGGTCGGCACTCAACCCCTGAGCCATGTCGGCCAGGCTAAGAGTGACTCCCCTTTAAGAAACTACAGCTAAACTCTGCTGTTCAGTGAGCCTGGCGATAGTGACGTATACCAGAACCATCTTCACCCTGTCATTCCCCTTTACCTGCACGTGGAGCCTTATTGTCACGATACGCATAAGTTAGTCTCCTGTAATTTCTCCTACGTGTTTGCCAAGTTATAAGCCCTTTACGTGCGTCCCTCAGACACCACCCCCATTTTCAGCCTCAAAGCAGTTCATTGACTATGTCCTAATTCTTAGGGATTCCTTCTACCTAAATGAGTCTCAAGAATAATGATGACCGCTCAGCTGGAGTGGCTCAGTGGCAGAGCATTGACCCATGAACCAGGAGGTCCCCGGGACTCGATTCCCTGAGGGGAGCGTGAGGAGGCAGCCAATCGGTGATTCTCTCATCACTGATGTTTCTATCTCTCTTCCTTCCTCTCTCTGAAATCAATAAAAACATATTAATCTAAAAAAGAATAATGATGATCTCTTATAACATCTGTTAATTCCTGAAGGAATTTAATGTGCATATTATGAGACCCTGCTGATGTAAAAACATCTAGCTCTTAAAAATATCTCCAGCCATTTCCTGCCTGACTCTGTTTGTCTTTCCACCCTCCATTCCAATACTGTTGTGAGTTTTCTCACTGCTCACGCTACGCTTACCCTCCCTCCCTGCCGCTATGCTTACCCTCCCTCCCTGCCGCTATGCTTACCCTCCCTCCCTGCCGCTATGCCTACCCTCCCTCCCTGCCGCTATGCTTACCCTACTGACTGCAGCTCTGTTCTGCAGCCTGGCTGCAGCTCCTGCCGGGCTAGTGGAAGGGGCTGCATGGCCACATGAGGCCTGCCACTCTCTGGTTCTAATGAGCTCAGAGCAAGGGAGCTCCAGCCCCTCCCCCACAAGATGCCTCTGGAGCAAACCAGAGAAGGAAAACGGAAGTGCAAAGGCAGGCTTATGGGTGAAATTAATACCCCCAAAAGGATTTCATTTTTAGAAAATCATACACAAGGATTTTAATATCTTCTTCTCTTGCTAACTGGTAATGTGGTGAGAGATGGCAAACTTCAGAGGACTACCCTGACCTCTTGTCTCTTCTTTTTTTATTTTTCTTAATTTTTTAAAATGTACTTATTGATTGTTTAGGGAGGGAGAGAGAGAAACATCGACTTTTGTTGTTCCACTTATTTATCCATTCATTGGTTGACTCTTGTATGTGCCCTGACCAGGGATCAAACTCACCACCCTGGTGTAACCGGATGATGCTCTAACCAACTGAGCCACCCGGCCAGGAACTCCTGCCCCCTGGCCTGGGTTATAAGAGCCACCTCCTCTTTCACATGCTCTTGGCTCCCTCCCAGCCTCAGACTTCCCTGAGGTCTTCCCATGACTGTCGTGTCCAGCCCCAAGTCTCTGACACCGCGGCAGTGCTGCACGGCCACCGGACCCACAGGCTGACCAGCCGGAAGGGATTTGGGGGGAAACGGGCCCAGGAAGGACAGTGCTGGCTCAGGCAGACCCCCTTGTCCATCCCGGGAAGAGGCTCCCTGAGGCTGGGGGGAGTGGAGGCCGCCAGCACTAGTTCAGGTCACTCCCGACTCACAACTTGAAAGGGCAGCACGCTTCTGCTGTTAGGAGCAGCCAGACACCGTTACGTGTGTGGAGTCTCCCAACACAGGCTCCTGCGCCCAACCTCAGCTTCTGCATCGGGCAGGCCCGGGTGGGGCTGGGAGTCGTTCTAACCGACTCCCGGAGGACCGATGCCGCTGCTCCCGGACCACACGGGGACCACCGACCACGGAACTGCGGGCCCCACCCACTGTGTGAGGCGGCGTGAAGGCTAAGCAGTCCCCCTGGTTCTGGGCCAGCGGGGCGCCTCCTGCACCCTCAGCAGTCCTTCCAGGGCCAGCGACAGGGAGGAACTGCCTTGTAAGCAAGTGAGGGGCAAGGTACACCGTCACCATTTCTCTAGCAAGAACCACGCACAGGCCCCACCGAGCTGCAAGGGAGGTTGGGACACAGCCCGGCTCAGTGGCCACATGCCCCGTGGCCGTGCTATGGCGATGGGAGGAGGGAGAATGACTTGCAGTCTGCGAGCCACCACCTGGTGAAGGACAGCTCCGATAAGCACCTGTCAGGGCTGATGCTGGCAGGCCCACCAGGTGGACTTGAACGTAGGTGCCTCAGGGGAGACTGTCATAGTGCCCAGGGAGAGCAGGGCAGAGAGGAACCGAGCTCTGGATGCTCTGGAGATGCACCCAGGAGGCTGTGTGATGCGGCGCACCAGCTGTGCAGCCCGGGACGAGTTACCTAGTGTCTGGGCCGAGGCCACCTCCGTCACGGTGGTTCGAGCGCTTGATTGTCTTTCTAGGCAGCGCACGGGAAAGGGCAGGGATCCCGGCATTCAGGTCACCACGAGGGGGGCCCAGGTTGATCTCAGACAGATTAGTGGGTACAAACCCTGCTCAGCTTTATCGCCAGTTAAATGAACCCTCTGCCAGTTTTCATGCCCACTGGGCAACTGAGATAAGTAAAGAAAGCTTGTGCCACGGATGGGAAAGGCTAGGCAGGCACCCTGCTGCTGGCACACTCACAGCTCTCAGTGAGGGGCTGGCGGGGGCGGGGCGGGGGCAGGACCACGGAAGCAAGTGGGGTGCTTGGAGTTAGCGCAATGCCACTGCCTTCAGCAGCCATTTGCCGGGCTGCTCTGAGCACATGCTCTGAGCTGGGAAATGATCAGATGTGCGACCCCTGCCTCGAGGAGCTCCCCGTTTAATGGGGAAACTGAGAAGTCAATCGGCCACCAGGACACAGTTGGGGCTGTGGTCAAGGTGATCTGCAGACCCCAAAGTCAGCCTGGGGAGCCGAGGAGGGACCAGGAGACAGAGCTCAGTCTGGGTCTGGGAGGGGCCCAGCCAGAGAGATGATGGAGTCACCCCTTGGCAATGCCCAGTGTTGGCCTGGAGGGACTAGGCCAGTGATGGCGAACCTTTTGAGCTCGGCGTGTCAGCATTTTGAAAAACCCTAACTTAACTCTGGTGTCATGTCACATATAGAAATTTTTTGATATTTGCAACCATAAATAATATAAAACAAAGATTTATATTTTTGATATTTATTTTATATATTTAAATGCCATTTAACAAAGAAAAATCAACCAAAAAAATGAGTTAGTGTGTCACCTCTGACATGCGTGTCATAGGTTCGCATGACTGGACTAGACCTTCCAGGCTGGGGGTGATGAGGGGCACAGCTTGTGCTGGGGCAGGGCTAGGCTGCCGAAGCTGCTGAGGGAGAGGAGAGCTGGTGGAGGGAGGTGCCCCATCAGGAGGGGTGGAGTTCGGGCTTTTCCCTGGAGGGGGTGGGAGCCACTGAAGGATGTGGACAGCAGGCGGTGTAAAGGCCACACTTGAGTCAGGGGGAAGAGGTGGGGAAGGAGATGGGGTGGGAGGCGGCTGAGGGCACCGCCCTGGAATCCAGGGGAGAGTTGGCAGCCTGGCAGGTGGAGGGTAAAGTCACAGGGTGGCCGGGATGTCTCCAGCACCACGGCTTAAGGTAGCTGTTTACGAAGGAATCAGGACGGGGGCGGGGCCTGCTCCTCACCACCTCCCAGCCCCATCTGCACCTTCCAGGCCGCGAGGTGCCTGGACAGGAAGGCTGAGACTCTCGCATTGAAATCTCACCCCCGTGCTTTCCACTTGGCCTCCGACCTGGGCAGGTGGGTGGCGGTCCGTCCCACCTGGGGAGCTGCGGGCAGCGCCTGTGCAGCCTCATCCCCACAGGTGGAGGAGGTACTCGTAGCTGAGGAAGGTGACGGCGTTGACAGGAAAGGCGCGGGCACTGTTGATGGTCAGCCCCCGGAAGAAGACCCCCAGGCCTTCCTGCCGGGCGCTGCTCACCATGCAGTCCAGCAGCCCCTGGTACTCCCTCTGCTCCAGCCCGGCCATCTGCATCCGCGACTTGATCACGTCCAAGGGGGTGGCGGTCACCCAGGAGGTGATGCCGGCGAAGCCCCCTGCCACCAGCACTGTGGTTGAGCCTGGGGTCGCGGGAGGCCGGGGCAGGGTCAGACCCAGGAGCACCCTCGCCTGCCCTCGCCTCCCCCCCTCCTCCTCGCCGGACCAGCTCCCCACCTCACTCCTCTGCCCCCCACCCTCTCACAGCCCCTCACTTACTGGGGTTCTGGCCGCCTGGCGTGGCTTGGCGACAGAGCCATTCATAGCTGACGAAGTAGATGCCCAGTGTGGGGGTGTCCCTCAGCGTCAGAGCCCAGGCTCCCCGGAACAGCCCCCGCGGTCCCTCCTCCTGGAAGATGGAGGCCGCACAGTGCACGGGCCCCCGGTACCGGGGTGGGGGCCCCCCCTGCCGCGCCCTTGGCTCTGTCTGGTTTTGTAGCCGAACTTTGATGAGGTCAAAAGGGGCCAAGCAGTAGGCCTGCAGGGAAAGAAGGGTGAAGGCCCGGGCGGGGCCAGCTTGTGCTGAGGAGGAGGAGGAAGGCAGGGGGCATCTTCCCGCAGGACCTCTAGCTGCCAGCGCTCAGCTTCTCATACTCAAAGCTGGGGACGGGCCAGGGGTCCTCCCCGAACCCAGGGCTGAGCAGTGACTGGGTCTGAAGAAAGGGTGCAGTCTGCCCACGCACAGGGTAAGTAGGTCACCGCGTTAGTGCTGGGGTCTCAGCCCCCAGCCCCTGGGCACACCTCTCAGGGGGCAAGCGCTGGGCCAGCCCTTCCTGCCTCTCACACACCCTCAGCTACTGGTGCCCAACAGCACGGGGGTGGCCGTGCATCTGTAGGTCCTAGAGCTCTTATCACTGGCTGAGGCACCCGGAACTCAGAGTCGGGGTGGTACTGGCACCTAGGTGGGTGCTGGGAGGACATGGAGGGTGGTTGGGGGAGGGGCTGGGGTGTGAGAGAGTCAACCAGGTCGAGATCAGCGAGGAGAGAATCGAGGCCATAGTGAGGTTAACGCAGCATTTGGGGGCGACATGAGTGTGTGTGTGTGTGTGTGTGTGTGTGTGTGTGTGTGGAAGGTGTGAGGGCTCAGTCCCTCAGCCTGGAGATGGCTGATGGCAGAGGAGACTGGCGAAGGCTCTGGCAATGATCTTTAGAGGGTGGAGGCCAAGTTGGCCGGCTTCCTCCCCCGAGAGAGGGGCCCTGATGTCGCAGGCTCCTGAGCCCTCGGCTCCAGAAGCTGAGGGGATGGCTGGGCCTAAGGTAGGGTGGCAGGTAGGGCCCACCCTCCCCATCCCACGCTGACGGGGACAGTGGGGACATCAGGCTCTGCTGCCCCCACTGTGTGACGGGGTCAGCCTTCGCCAGCCCACAGCAACTCTCGTGCCCAGCAGAGGTTGTCAGTCTGCCCTGTGCTAACCCGAGTCCTGCCCAGCCTCCCTCCCACCTCCACACAAGACACACTTTCTGCCCCAAGACTGAAGTCAGAGGCTCCACAGCCAGCGGCTCCGGTCGGTCCCGGACCCAGTCCCCATCGCCACCCCCAGCCCAGGACTGTTATCTGTTCTACTTTCCAAAGAGCTGGGGGGAGGCTGGCTCAGGCGCTGGGCCTGGCTGGGCCTAAATCAGGCCGCTTGGCCTGGAGCCTCAGTTCTCTTCCTTGCTTCTGGGGGTGCCAGGTCTCCGAGCGCGGGAAATACGCAGGCATGAGCCCTGCAAAGAGGGGCAGGAGAAAGGCCAGGCCCTTTGGGGGTCTCATGAGTTATTAATTCACCTTAGTGAGCCCGCGGCCTGTTCCTTGTCCTCGCTCTCTGCCTGTGAGTCTGTCAGGGCCTCAGGGCAGATGCCAACTAGAGGGTGACCTGAGGCGCCTGGCGGGTGTGGGCGGGGCAGGCACACATCCTCTGCCGCTATGCTCGGAACCCCCATTCAGCTGGGGTTCCCTGGGTGCCTGGAGGCCCCTCTCCCCCCCACCCCACCCCTCAAAAGCCCAGGTACTTAAGTGCTGAGAACAAAGACCGAAAACAAATGATCGGGGTTACTTAATGATTAATTCCCGGGACCTCTCCCAGCGGGACCTGTGGACTGGGGCCCAGTGATCCCAACCACCCAGGCAGCAGGCACAGGGGCTGAGCAGGGAAGGGCGGGGCTCCCCTGCAGCTCTGAGGCTGGCAGACCCCCCAGAGGTGGGCAAGCCCTGTCCACCTCAGAGTGGGGCGTCGGCTGCTCTATGGTGTCCTCTCGGCACCATCTCCCCCACCCACCCCCCTGAGCTCTCTCTGCTTTGGCCGCCTCTGTTCTGCACCCGCCCTCCAGGCCTGCAGGGTGGGAGGCCCGCTCAGCCAGGCCAGGCCGCTGGGAGCAGCAGGAGCTGCCATTTCCCCTCTGCCTCTCACATTCCGAGGGGACAGCCATGGCCTGCAGCTGTGGGTCCGCAGATGGGGCTGGGAGGGGCAAGACCGAACTGCCCACCTCTGCCCCCGCGTGTGCGTGTGCGTGTGCGCGTGCGTGTGCGCATGCCCCTGCCGCCCTGACCTGGAGGAAGCCCCCGGTGCAGCCGGCTATGAAGACGTGCGTGTAGCTGGGCGGCTGGAGGCGCCGCTCGTGGTGGGAGGTGGCCGTGAGCGCCAGCAGGGCGTTGCTGTAGACTCCGAACAGGACCGAGTTGACCACGGCTATGCTGGCGATGGGGAAGCTCATGCCCTTGAAGAAGCCCAGGATCTGCAGGGGGAGGACGCACTGGGGTGGGTGGGGGACCCGGGCCTCCCCTTTGCCCTTCCCCGCCGGACAGGCCTCCTCCAGCTGGAACCACACTGAGCCCGGAGGCACGAAGCTACCACCCAGCCCCAGCGGTAGCCCCAGGCTTACTGTGGGAGTAGGTTCTCTGGTCTTCTCTCTCCCGAGGGCAGAGCCCCGCCTGGGAGGAGGGAGCTGGTACCGACGCTCAGATGCCTCCCACCCCAAAGCCCCAGAGAAGCAGGCCACCCACCGACTCATGGCGGTAAGTCTTCACCATACAGTCGATGATGCCTCGGTAGGTGCTCTGGGTCTGTAGCCGCACCTGGACGGGAAGGACGGACAGCGGGATGCCCGAGGGGCAGCAGAGGCAGGAAGGAGCCTGTCAGCCAGGCCCGGCCCTCGGGGCAGCCTGCCCTTCGGTTCAGGTGTCCTCTTCCCCCCTCGGGCGCCTCCCCTACACTCACCTTCACAGTGTCGAAGGGGTGTCCCAGCACCAAGCCCAGTGCTCCTGTAGTGACAAGAAGGTGCTATAAGTGAGGCCAAGCGCCAGGCTGAGGGAGCAAGTCTGTGCTGAGAGGAAAGAGGGGGTTCAGGCAGGAGAGAGGGCAGAGCCTTTCACAGGCTCCACAGAAACCCTGCTGGCCCCGTGCGCCTCCGCACCAGGCGCTGGGCTGGGAAGGGACGGGACCAGGGGACAACAGGAGGGCGCCCCAACCTGGCCTGAGCGCAAGCTTGCAGAAGGGAGAAGCCAACCACAGACTTGGGGTCCTCACTGGGCGCCCACACCCGTGTCTTGCTGGCTTCTCTAGCCATGACTCTGGAGGGGTGTCCATCGCTCCTGCCTCCCTGACAGCTTTTCCCCTCCCTCCTTGTTTCTCTCCCTCCCTCCCCCCTCCCTCCCTCCCATCAACTCACAACCACTGTCCAGTTTGGGGCCTTGGTCCAGACCAGGCCCTGCCCCACCAGCGCTCTGCCCTGTCCGCCTGCAGTGCGTCCTTAGGGGAGTCTCGCTGGCCCCAGGGGCGGAGGGCGCAGCCCGGCATCTCCCCGCCTCCTGGTCTTGCCCTCTGCAGCAGAGGCCGGTCCTGGAGCCTTGGGAGAGGTCGCATCCCCCGAGGCAGGTTCAGAAAGTCCCTCTATTTCTCCTAAGAGAAGTGTCCCCAGAAGCTGAGCTGGGCCTAGAGCACAGCAGGCCTCAGGTCCGCGCCTCCATTCATTGCCAGGTAGGGCACAGGCCGAAAGGGGGACACGGGACAGCGGGTGAGGTCAAAGGTGAACTTCTTTCTGAGCCCCACACTGGGAGAGCGGGGTTCGAGGTGCAGGTGCTGTGGGTGCCTCCGGGAGACGCTCACCTTGGCTCCCCCTCTTGGCAGGTGTCAGGCAGCAGGGCCTTGGGACAGCACCCTGCCACCTGTGCCTTTCTGGCCTCTTCCCTCGCACGACTCCCAGCAGGCTCTGGGACCGCTGGCCCCGGACACTCGGGGAGCCAGGACTTTGGCCTCAGCTCCTCCTATGTCATCTAGCTTCCCCAGGAAGTGGCCCACCACTGGGGGGACATGACAGAGGGAGAAAGAGGTCTCACCGGAGATCCAGCCGGCCACAAACTCCTCCACAGGCATCGTCCAGCCCGGTGGGGACGGTGGCTCCCGCAGAGCGGACGCGGTGAAAGTGTAACTACCTTCTCCCGCCCCGAGCCCGGCTGATAACCTCCCACTAATGTTTAACCCAGGCCTTGGGCACCAGGAGAGGGGAGCAAGCCAGCCTGGGTGGCCCTGACGGCCTGGGAGGCGTGCAGTGTGAAATCTCATGGGGCCCGATGACGGCCCACGGTAACCTGCCAGCCCTGCCAGCCAACGGTGGCCTTGAAGTGTGAGCAGGACTGGGCCCCTCCAGGCTGCCTTGGCCAGCAGTGGTTTAATGAGTGTACTGGGGACAGGCCCTGCCTGGCCCGCACTCCCATTGGTGTCCCACAGCAGACAGCAGGCGGTCCGACTGAGAGAGCCAGCATGGCCACCAGGGGGCAGGCCTGGGCCCCGGGTCTTCCTGGGCCTTGGGAAACAAGGAAGCTGGCGGGGTGGAGGAGTGACTCACCGGGCCTGGAGCCAGGCCTCCTCCCCGGGTTGTTTACCGTGGCCTCCCGTGGCTCCTCTTCCTGAGCCTCATGGGGGGTGGGGGGACTGAGTGTATAAAGGGTGGAGCACTTCTCTGCTTTGGAGGATAAGGCTTTGACTGCCACTTCTCTTTGAACAACTACAACCCAACTGGCAGGGCAGGGACCCGACTCCCTCTTCTGCAGGATGAGGTAGAAGAGGGGCCGGAGAGGAGGGGGCTCTTCTTCTTTTTTTTAAAAAAAAAAATATTTGTATTGATTTCAGAGAAGAAGGGAGAGGGAGAGAGAGATAGAAACACCCATGATGAGAGAAAATCACTGATTGGCTGCCTCCTGCACATCACACCCAGGCATGTACCCAGAGGGGATCGAACCATGACCTCCTGGTTCATAGCTTGATGCTCAACCACTGAGCCACACCAGCCGGGCTGTTAGTTATCTTGAAGGCTTCGAACAATGTGTGGCACAAAGTAGACACTCAATAAATATTCATGAAAGAACGAATGAGCAGACGAGTCAGGGGCAGCATCAGTGGACAGCCTGCACCAGCCCTCAGTCCCAGTTCTCGCCCCCCATCTCCAAAGGGCCTCTAAGAATGTAAAGGCCCACAAGACCCCTCCTGCCCCTCCAGAACTGGTTGCAGCTCTTGGTTTCCCATCAGATGTTCCAAGGACCAGTCCTGCTCGCCCTTCTCTCCCTTCGCCAAAGCTGATCCCATCCACCCACTACTTTCTCGTGCGGGGAGAGGTCCTAGGAAGCAGGGTTTCATCTCTGACATCCTCCCCCTGGAGCTGCCCGGGGCTCCTTGGGCTGCCCCAAGACCTTCCCGCGCACTGGTCTCTCACGGAGGCTGGGCTGCAATGCTCCCTCTGCTGGTTCTCTCTTGAGTGATGGTGGAAAATCCCTTCTGTGGGCCTCAGGCTACTTAACGCTTGCAAAAGTAGGGGACCAGCCCTGCTGATTGCTGAGTCTAAGGCCTTGACTCTAAAGGTGAATGCTCCCCAGCGCCTAGCAGAAGGACAGCCGCCAGTCCTGACTAGGTCTCCTCCAGTCCTGCAAATCCCACCAGGTTAACCGTCCGCCTGGCAGAGCAGAGCAGAGCTCTGATCTCGTCACTGCCAAACCCACCACACTCCCCCACCCTGGTATCTCCCCTCGCCCCCAGGGTGCCGCCCACTTCCCAGCCTCACCTGCTGTGCTTTGATTGCCCAGGGCTTCCCTGGTGTCCTAACCTCCCCCTGCAGCTCCCACTCCCCGAAAGCCCTAGCCGGTTTGGCTCAGTGAATAGAGCATTGGCCTGCGGACTGAAGGGTCCCGGGTTCGATTCCAGTCAAGGGCACATGCCCAGGTGAGGGCTTGATCCCCAGTAGGGGGCGTGCAGGAGGCAGCCGATCAATGATTCTCTCTCATCATTGATGTTTCTCTCTCTCTCCCTCTCCCTTCCTCTCTGAAATCATTAAAAAAAAAAAAAAGGGAATCTCTGCTCCTCCTTACCCGGCCTGGGTTTCAGCTTTCTCACCACCACACCTACGCCAGGCCTTAGCTTTGCTACTTAATCTTTTTGATTCTGTTTTATCATCATAAAATGGAGCTATATACTCAGTGTGTCCTAAGGATTAAAGCACTTCGGCTGGATCTGGCATACCCTCTATGCCCCCCAGGGGGCAGCTACTGTTACTCTGATTCCCACTCCCAGGGCCATGAGCAGTGGGAGGGGGCCTATGCACAGGAGACGCCCAGGAATTCAGGACCGTTCCCTTCCTGCTTGTGGCATTTTATAATTTTTAAGGCAATCTTGTCATCTTACATAGTTTTAAACGTGTTTCTATTTCACATTGATGTTTCTCTCCCTCTCCCTTCCCTCTCTCTCTAAAATCAATAAAAATGTATTTTTAAAAATTTTAACACTTTAAAAAATAAATAAGCCATAAGCTTCCGTGTCTCACCCAGGTCCCCCTCCCCTGCTAGCCGGCCCGCACGCAGTGAGCGCTCAGCTGCACCGAGCTGTTGCTCACTTTGCGCCAGCAGGTTAGGGAGGCCGCCGAGCCGGTGTCCGGGGCGAGGGTCAGAGCTGAGAACCAGGACGGAGATGCCGGCTCCCACTGCGCCCGCTTCTCCAGCTCACATCTGAGCGTCTCTGGGTCCTCGGCTCCTTCTGCAAAGGAGGGCACTGTAATGGGCTCGAGTGGGTCCTGAGAGCGGGCTAAGAGCTGTTTCAAATACCGAGGCAACGAGGCCCGAGCTAGGAGCTGGGGCTGCCCCTGATGCCAGGGAAGCAGGGCCTGGTGCGCCACTCGTCCCCGCTCCGCAAACCCCGCTTGGTTCTGCTGATCGCCACGTTCACTGTGGTCACTTGGAACAACCTCTTGTTCCTCTGGTTCAGGAAGGCGCCCCATGGACCTGTTTTTCTCCCCGAGATCCACCCCTCAGGCGCACAAGCTGGCGTTGCCAGGGCATGTTGGCGACGTGGCCCTGGAGACAGGCGGCTCACACCTGCTCTTCCAGCCCCAGCGCCGCTCCCGGCCTCGGGGAGGCCTCGCGGTCTCTGAGCCCGTGTCTAAGGCAGCAGGCGCGCAGGTGCCCGGCCTGGCATACAAGCGGCAGGTCCTTGGAGGGCATCCCCCTTTCACAGACGAGGAAACAGGCCCGGAGGCGAAGGGGCTTGACCAGGAGGAGTCAGGACAGGGGCGCAGTCTCCTGACCACAGCGATGGGCCCGTCACCCCTCACGGGTGCTGCAGCACAGGCAGCTGCCTGGGTCACCTTCACCCAGCACCCAGCACCCAGCACCCAGCACCCAGCACAGTGTGAACCCGCCGCGTCCCAGGAGGGGAACAGGCCCAGTCACTACGCCCAGATCTCCGATTGCCTGGAACCTCCCACACCTTGTTAGAGGCCATCGGTGTGGGGGCCACTCGGCCTTGGTCACAGGGGTTCGCAGCGCGGCCATCCCAGGGTGTGACCGAGGCTTGCCAGGCCTGCGCATGCGCAGGACCGCGGGCGGCCGTGGACGCGCGGGCACCGGGCAGGGCGCGTGCGTGGCGGCCCCGGGCTCCCATTGGCTCCCGCGGGCCGGGGGGCGGGGCTTGCAGCGCGGCGCTTCCTCTGCCCGGGCTTCCGCGTCGCAGCCCGGGAGCTGGAGCCCGAGGCGGGGAGTCGGAGTCCTGGCGGGCGGCCGAGCCGAACCGGAGCTGGGGGTCGGAGTCCAGGCAGCAGCCGGGGCGGAGGCGGCTGGCACTGCGTCCCTGCGAGGTGAGAGCGCGGCGACGCCCGCCCCCGCCCCCGCCCCGAGGTCGCGCGGTGCCCTCCTGCCTGGGCTGCGGGCGAGCCGGGCTTCCACCCGCTGCTGCCCGCCAGGGCCTGACCCTCCCACCAGCCCCGACCTGGCGTTGGCTGAGGACCCGCGTCCGCACCCCTCTCCTCTGCGCACAGCGCCTCCAGCCGCCGGTGTTCACTGTCGCAGATCCGCCCGGGACCCCTTCCTTCCTCAGCGAGAGCCCCAACCCGGACCCCCAGTGACTGCCCTTTCTCGTTCCCTCCGCAGATGGACGGGACAGACGGCAGTGCCGGGCCCGGCCCCGCCGAGCGGTCCCATCGAAGCAGTGTGTCCTCCGTGGGCGCCCGAGGTGGGTTCCTGTCCCCGTCTCCCCGCTGTTCCCTTCTAGGGTCCCAGCCCGGAGGGGTGGCCCTGGCTCCTCATCTGCTCCATTAAAGAGAATCTGTGTTCAGTAACAAATAAAATACGTTGAGGTGTGGAAAAGTGGCCCAAGTCTATCCGAGGTCCTGGGTACTGTTACTAGGCTACAAGTTGGGTACTCTTTTTTTTTAATATATTTTTATTGATTTCAGAACGGAAGGGGGAGCGAGAGAGATAGAAACATCAATGATGAGAATCATTGATCGGCTGCCTCCTGCACGCCCCCCATCGTGGGTGAGCCCACAACCTGGGCATGTGCCCTTGACTGGAATCAAACCCGGACCCTTCAGTCCAGCAGCCGACAGGCCGACGTTCTAGTCACTGAGCCAAACCAGCTAGGGCTGGGCACTCTTTTTTAAACAAAATTTTAAATTGATTTTTAGAAAGAGAGAGACATTGATTTGTTGTTCCACTTATTGATGCATTCATTGTATGTGCCCTTACTGGAATCAAACCCACAACCGTGGCGTATCAGGACGACACTAACCAACTGTGCTCCTTGGCCAGGTCCGGTACTTTTCTGGAATCTCCCTTTCCTCCTTTGTAAAATGAGCTTGTCACACGTAGCTGTGAAATTCAAGTCTTATGAATGAAAAGTGACACGCTCACTTTCTTTGTTGGATTTCTTTCACACAAACACCCTTTTGAAAGCAGGGGTCATTATTTTCATCTTATAGGAAGGAAACTGGGCCCTGGAGAGGTTGTGTCACAGGAAACCAGAGCCTTCGGTGCCTTGGTTTTCCCTGCCTGAGAGTGGGTCTGAAACTCAGCCTCCTGGAGATTATTTTATGATTCCCCAAGAAAGTAAAGGGTGTCCCAAAATTCACGCAAGAAGTAATTTTGATAGAAAACACAGGTTTATAGTGAAAAAATTGTAAATTTTTAATTGATTCATAAAGTATACTGTATAGGGGTATGTATGGAATAGCATATCGGGTAAATGGATTATCATGTCGCGATAGCGAGCACCATTAACTGTTATTGCCTGAGCAGCCGCATTTTCGAAGAAGAATGGTACGATGATGCCTCCAGCCCAAAATCCGCACCAAACAGTGACACGTTGTGGATGCATTTGTTTCTCAACAATCACTCGTGGATTTTCTGAACCCCAAATGCGACAATTTTGTTGATTAACCAGGCCATCAAGATGAAAATGAGCCTCATCGCTGAAGATGATTTTGTTCGAAAAATCAGCATCCATTTGTTGTTGTTCCATAATCCATTCAACAAACTCTCTTCGCTGTGCGTGGTCAGTAGGCTTCAGTTCTTGAGTCAGTTGAACTTTGTAAGCATGAAGATGCAGATCTTTCGTGAGAATACGCTGTAGAGAGCTTCTCGAAATGTCCAATTCTTGACCACGGTGCCGAATTGATGTCCCTGGACTCTCAGCTACACTCTCACGAGCTGCTTCGATGTTTTGTGTTGAACGACTTGTTGAAGGACGGCCAGGGTGTTTAAGATCACTGATTGATCCAGTCTCCCTAAATGTTTTAATTAATCTCTTCACAGTTGATGAAGTTAAATCACTATCCCGACCATACTTTGCACGAAAATTGCGAACTGTAGCTGCCAAACCTTCATTATTTTTAAAATATTGCTCAACAGTGACAACGTGTTGTTCTTTCGTGTAGCACTCCATTTTTCACAACCCTGAACTGTCAGCTGTCACGCTACCTTTTTTTTTCATTGGCAACACTTTACGGCACAAATGGCGTAAAATTCAAATCTTGCGTGAATTTTGGGACACCCTTTAGCTGCTGCCTCCAGCGTGGCTCGGTGGTTGAGCATTGACCTATGAACCAGAAGGTCACAGTTCCCATTCCTGGTCAGGGCACATGCCGGGGTTTCGGGCTTGATGCCCAGTAGGGGGCGTGCAGGAGGCAGTTGATCAGTGATTCTCATCATCGATGTTTCTATCTTTCCCTCTCCCTTCCTCTCTGAAATCAATAAAAATACTTTTTTTTTTTTTTTAAAGAAAGTAGCTGTTGGGGAACAGACTGGGGATCTAAAAAGCACCTTCCCTTGTATTAATGATAAGCTACGCCCTCACCTTTGATTCACAGCCACTCTTTGAGGGAGGGGTCTTAGCCCGGCTTTACGGGTGAGGCCGCCTAACTCACACTGACCTGCCGAAGTCAGCCAGCTAGCCAGGAGCCGGCCGAGGACTTGAACCGGAATATACTGGCCTCCACGCTCAGTGCTCCTTCAGGGCAGCTGCGGTTCCAGGGATGGGGGTTTGCATCTGGCTGCTCTTCCAAGGGTCTCCCTGTGGCTCTGGGCTCCAAATAGGAATCCCAGAGGTTGTCACAGGGAAGGCTCAACTTGTCCTTCCCCTGGCCTATCCTGAAAGCCATGGTATTGCGTTCTGAGGCTTGAAGAGTTCAAAGGGAGCTGAGCCCTGGGTCTTGCTTTGCCCTCGGCTGGCCTTGAATCCTCAGTTCCCATCTTAGCCTGGGCCAGAGAGAGACAGCAACTTGCCCTGGGATAATAGTGGGTCCCCAGCTCTCCCCCTCCCAACCTGATACACCAACTGCTGTAAATCTGAAGGATTAAGCCCATCTGCCTCCATCCCCACTAATGTTCTCCTTCATGGAGGAAGCACAGAACAGCCCTTGGGGCTGCCAGGGGAGTGTGTGTGTGGCCAGCCCTAATTTGAACCTTCGGGGGTTAGGGACCAGTCCCTGGGGCAGAGTTGCTGGGTTTCTGGGTGGTTTGAGCATCTTGAATAAATCCTAACAGAATTCTTCACAGGGTCCTTTGGAGACTGTCTCTGGAGTGTAGCATAGGTCACCCAAGGGTGTGGAGTGGGGGCTCCAGCCCCAGTGGGACATGCCTGTGCCTGAGCACTGGCCCAGCTGACCCTGCCTGGCTTCCACTGCAGCAGCTGACGTGCTGGTGTATCTGGCGGATGACACTGTGGTGCCCCTGGCAGTGGAGAACCTGCCTTCCCTCAGTGCCCACGAGCTGCACCGCGCCATCCGTGAGGTCCTGCAGCTCCCGGACGTTGCCCTGGAGATCTTCGCGCTCTGGCTGGTGTCCCCTCTGCTGGGTAAGGCTTGGCCATGAGAAGTCCAGGCGGGAAGGTTGGAAGGTTACTGATCAGCTTCCAGAACCTGTGGCCACTTTTCATCAGGGAAAGGTGGGACTTGTGTGGGTCCTGGAGCTGTCTGTCCACCCTTTTGAGGGCCCAGAGCCCTGAGAGGATGCCTGGCTCCTCTGCCCCCACCTCCTTTCTGCTGGTGGCAGAGGAGGGGCCGAGCTGCTCGCAGCCTCAGCAGTCTGGAGCCTGGGGCAGGAGGAGTAGGGCTAGGAGACAGGGAGGGGAGTGGTCTGCACGCCCCGAGCACATGGTCTGTGCCGCCACTTGAGCTGGCATTTCGTGAGCAGAGTTTCACCTTATCCTCGTGGCCCAGATTGAGGTTTCGGGTGGTGGGACCAGCGAGAGGTAGGACCAAGGTCAGAACAGAAGCCTGGGTGGCCCACAGCTGACCTCTTTGAACTGCGTCTGCTCTTGAGGGCAGGGAGGAGGGTGGTACCCAGCCCGGGCAGCTGCCACCGCTGACGCTGACGATGAGACGTTCCCTGAGGGTGGGGAAGGCAGGACGAGTGGGAGCTGACTTCGGTTTCTGGCCTGTGACCACCAGTGTCCTGCCCTTTCAGGCTGAGGTTCCCAGGGCGGGGATGGCATGGGATTGAGGCAGTGGCTCCCCAGACCCTCAGGCCTGGGAGGAGGGGCTGGGGGTTCCCTGGGGCCTCTGAATAGGGCCTCCAGCCTCCGGGCTTGGACAGGGGGAGGGCCGGGGGAAGGAAGCACCCCAGCTGGAGCCAGGGCCAGGCATGTTTTCTGAGCTTAAACTTTCTCTTTCCTTATAGAGGAATAGGGACAAGAAGGGGTGGCTGGTGGAGGATGGTGGGGGGACACATATGTAATACCTTAATCAATAAAGAAAAAAAGAAGGGGGTGACTGATCCCTGGGGTCCCTAGTGGTTGGGGTTTGTGCCTCTACCCTGGCGGGGGTCAGCTAGCCTGGTGGGAAAGTGGGTGCCTGTCCCCCCACCCTGCCCAGCAGTTGGAGCTTCCTGCCCAGCTGCTGCTCTCGCCCACCTCTTCCTGCTGACCAGTCTCCTCCGGCTGCTCCCCACCCGGCCCAGCTGCCCCTCCTTCGCCCTCCATGCTCCTGGCCAGAACTGTGGGCCCCTGGGCTTGTGTTTTTGAAAAGCTGGGGGTGGTGGTTCCCATGGCCGGCCCTGCCTCGGGCTCCTGTCCCTACAGCTGGACACGGCTTGTTCCTTCCTCCCACTTCCTCTGCCCCCTCCCTCCTCATCACATTCCTGCTCCCCCTCATGGACGTGAATGGACCGCCTGTGTGGCCCTGCGGCCTGGTCGCCCTGGGGACCTGCCTTGCAGGAGGAGGGTGGCCAGAGGCCCCCGCAGGAAGTCAGTGCGCACTTTGTTCCCTCGCTGGGCTGAAGGAGACCGAAAGGCCACTTGAGCTTTGACTCGGCCCTCAGAACCTTTGCCCCACCCCCACCCCCACCCCCAGAGCGGGTGAGCACTCACGGATGCCCAGGGCTGTGAGGCAGGGAGGGGGCGCTGTCGGCCAAAGCTGCTCTTCCTGTGAGCTGGATGTTTGGAAGGGTTTGGCCTTCTCAATGCCATTGTCACTCTACATGAAACAGGGCTCCAGGGACCGTGTGTCTGTCTGGGTAACAGTTTCCAGGCAGAAAGGCCCCATCTGGAAATGTGTCGGACCCTGGGGTCAGCAGAGTCCTGTTCTGAGAATGGGAGTTCTCTGAGCTGCAGGGACTGGGAGTTTAAGGCTGGTCAGGGCTGGGCCATAGGCAGAAGGAAGCCCCCCTGCCTCAGGTCCGCTCTTCCAGTGTGTCCACGTTCGCAGCTAATCATTCGTCTCACAAGTGAGTGCAGAGCCCACCCCTCGTTCTGGGCAGCCGTCTGAGCAGGATCGGAGGTGTCCCTGCTCCCAGGGAACCTGCAGTCTAAAGTGTGGGGTCCTAGCCAGTTTGGCTCAGTGGATAGAGCGTCGGCCTGTGGACTGAGGGTCTCAGGTTCGATTCCGGTCAAGGCCACATGCCCTGGTTGTGGGCTTGATTCCCAGTAGGGGGTGTGCAGGAGGCATTTGATCAGTGATTCTCTCTCATCATTGATGTTTCTATCTCTTCCCTTTCCCTTCCTCTCTGAAATCAATAAAAATTTATTTAAATAAATAAATAGATAGATAAATAAATAAATAAAAATGTGGAGCAGGAGGCTCAGTGGGCAGAGCTCTGTTCTAGTTCAGCCACTAACTCTGATGGCCTTGGGCAGGCCCTGTACCTCTGGGCTTCAGTGAGTCCAGATGGAGCTGGGAATGTTCAAGTGATTGACGGAGGCCTGAGTGGGAGGGGGAGCGAGAGAAGGGGATGAGGGGAGCTGGGCGGCCTGGCATCGTGGGCACGGAGGCCAGGAGTGTGCAGGTCGGAAGGTCAGCTGGAGCTCCCCGGGGAGAGGCTGGAGGTGGGGGCTGTGGGGGAGACCAGGCTCTGCCAGGGCCAGGGGAGGGCAGCCCCTGGATTCTCAGTTACCAGCTTCGGGCTCTGCTTCCTAATGGCAGTGCCAGGTCCATCTGCACTGCCACCCACACCTGCCCTTGGCGCAGCCTCGGCTCGGCCTACCCGGGCAGCGGTAGAGAACAGTCAAGGGCTGCCTCTGCTGTATGACTGCACAAGCAGCCTAACCGCTCTGAGCCTCATTTTCTCTCTGGATGCAATGAGGATGGGGCATTGCAGACTGTACCCCTAAATGGTTCTGGACTTTTAGTACCTGCTCTGTTGACATTGACCGTGACTCCATCATGTTGCGGAGGGGCGGGCGGCAGTTGCGCTGTGTGCTTGCGTGTGCCTCGGGCCGTGCGCTCGCTGTCCCGCCGCCCTGGCAGAGGCTGCACGGTCGCTTCCCTCTCGCCTGCAGAGGTGCAGCTGAAGCCCAAGCACCAGCCCTACAAGCTGGGCCGCCAGTGGCCAGAACTGCTGCTGCGCTTCACCGACGCCCCGGACGACGATGTGGCCACAGGTGAGCGTGCTCCCGCGGCCCCGCCTCAGGGCCACCTGGGTTGAAGCACCGGCTCCCAGGCCCCTCAGCCTCTCCTGGCAGCGGAGCCCGGGGACCTGAGGGGAGCCCAGGAGAGGAGGGGCTGGAGGTCAGCGAGCTTGTCGAGATCAGCCACCCCCCGACTCTGCACAGCCCTCAGGCTTCCTCAGTCGTGGCTGGAGAGCCGGGGGGTCGGGGACGGGCCAGTCGGGAGAGGGCTGGGCAGTGACCCCAGCCTCTCCCCCCAGACGAGCCTTCCCTGCAGTTCCGAAGGAACGTGTTTTTCCCAAAGCGGCGGGAGCTCCAGGTGAGGCCGCGAACCCCAGGCAGTTCTGGTGCCCTGTGTCTAGCCTCCCCTTGTCCCTACATCCCTGGACACGGGTGCCCTGACCTAGCTGAGCAGCCCCTCCCTGCCACACAGATCCACGACGAGGAGGTCCTGCGGCTGCTCTATGAGGAGGCCAAGGGCAACGTGCTGGCGGCACGGTACCCCTGCGACGTGGAGGACTGCGAGGCCCTGGGCGCCCTGGTGTGCCGAGTGCAGCTCGGGCCCTTCCAGCCTGGCCAGCCCACGGCCTGCACCTTGAGGTGAAGGCCAGCGTGGCCTGAGGCCGGGGTGCAGGGTGGGAGGGTTCGCCCCAGAATCCTGCTTACAGTTGGTCTTAGGTCTTGCAGGGTCCTGGCGTCAGGAGGCCTCAGCCTGAGGGCTGGCCCTGACACTGGCTGGGTGACCCCTCCTCACGCCGCCCTGCGGCTGGGCCTCTCCCCCCTCCCGCCCCCATGGCTGGGCTGTGTGGTCCTCCGGAAGCCCCAGCAGAGACCCTCCCCTCCTCACAGAAACGACAGCTGCAGGGATGTTTGTTTGACACATGCCAGTGCCCTTCCGTGGGTGCAGACACCAGCGTCCTTGGGTTAGGGGTGGGAAGCCGAGGCTTGGCGAGGGCGCTTAGCGTGCAGACACCGAGGCCAGCTGTGGCTTACACAGAGCCACCAGTGTGCGGCCTGGAGTCGCTGGGCTGCCCCGGGGTGGGAGGGACACAGTCACGCCCAGATTCCTTCCTCTGTGAGTAAGTGCAAATGCGCTTTCTTTCACGTGCCTGCACCCATGGATTGTAGGTTGGTGTTTTCTTACATCCCTCTTCGGCAGAATAAAACATTGGTAGCTCTGGGTCACTTGTACCATTTTTGGTTGTGAAAATTCCACTAGTTCAGGAATCCAGTCTTCCTTACTCACCCAGACGTTGTGTGGAACCCTCCAGCCCAGCCTGGTTCTGGGGCGGGCCTGGTTTGAGCTCTTCATCTCCTGACTTTTCCTTCAGGCCTCTCGCCCGTCAGGTGTGCTGTTGAGATGGCAGCAGTGGGATCCCTTGGCAGTTCGTGTCTGCCCTCCCCCCCCTCCATGAGCACGTCAGCCACGGAGCCTCATGCTGAGCCTCATCTTCCTTCCTCCACAGGGAGAGGCTGGACTCCTTCCTCCCCGCCCACCTGTGTAAGCGAGGCCACGGGCTCTTTGCTGCCCTCCGGGGCCGTGGGGCCAGGGCTGGGACCAGCGAGCAGGGCCTGCTCAGCGCCTACCGCCAGGTGAAGGAAGCCGTCAGCAGCGACGGCGAGTGCGAGGCGTCGCTGAGGACCCACTACCAGGCCTACCTCACCAAGTGCCACGAGCTTCCCTATTACGGGTGAGCACCATCCCGGCAGCCACAGCCTGGGTCTCCTCTGGCCCGAGATGCTCGCTGGACACCCAGGTGGCTGTTCCGAGTCGGCGTTTTGGTTTCTGGGTCTGGAGTTTGGTAGTAACTGGGGAGTCCGCACGTAGATGGTGTTTGAAATCAGGGACCCAAAGGGACAGTCAAGGAGGTGAGTGTGGACGGAAGGAGGACCCAGCCAGCAAGGCGGGAGGGTCTCTGCAAGCCAAGCAAAGGGCGGTGTCCAGGACCAGCCTCCCATGCTGCTGCTTCAAGGTCAAGTTCGACACTTCCTGTGTGGCTGACAGTTGTCCTTGGCCCCAGCATCATGGAGGAGGCGGCGGGTGGGGAGAGTGTAGCCAGCTTTCCCAAGGAGCCGTGCTGTGGAATGAACAGCGTGTGCGTGCGGTGGGGACAGAAAGTTTTTAATTCAGTGACAGGAAGTGTGTGCTGATACGGTGGCCCAGTAGAGTGAAAACTTGAGGGTGGCGAGTGGCCCCTCTTCTGGTTGCTTCAGTTTCCCCCGCCCTCGGCCAAGCCTGTGAAGTCTCCCAGGCGTGAGACTGCGGGGCTGACGGAGGCTGCGCTCAGTAACTGCAGGTGGTGAGCGCTTGTCTTCAGTCCTGCCCACGGTGCCATTGCCGGCAGTCACAGAGGTGGGACTACCAGGACTCTGGCTTCGCCAAGGGCAAGCGGGGAGGCCAGGGCAGCCATGGGCGCGGAGAGGACACGGCAGGCAGGAGGGAGAGGCTGGCAGCTCAGTGGGTGGCATCCCAAGGCCACTCACCCTTTCCCCTTCTCCGGGTCAAGCCCCGAAGCTGCTTCCCTGGGCAGTTCCTGCCCCTCGTGGGCCCCAAGCAGGTGCAGCCTTGACCCCTCTCTGCTGCTGAAGGGGCGGGGGCTCTCCCAGCCCTGACCCGGCCTGGCCACCTCCAGCAGCCTCAGCCCTGGTCCTCGGGCTCCTGGCGGCTCCCTTAACATCACCTGCTCTGTCCACTCCTGGATTCACGCTCTGCCCTCTGCCTGTGGTGCCCCTTCTGTGTGCCGCTCAGTTCCACCTCCTGCCTGCTCAGACCCTCCCGTCCTGCACACCAGCTCCGATGCCACCACCTCCAAGCCTTCTTCCTCCCCTGGGGCGCGTTTCCCTTTAGCCTTCAGTCACCCGAAGGGCCTGGCCAGAGCACTCGCTGGCGGAGGAACCACAGGCTGAGCCGCCTGCTTGGTGCTGGAGGGGCAGGCTGACCCCAGCTCCCCTCCCCCAGGTGTGCCTTCTTCCACGGCGAGGTTGACAAGCCAGCGCAGAGCTTTTTGCACCGGGGCGGACGGAAGCCGGTGACTGTAGCCATCAGTCTGGAGGGTGTGCATGTCATCGACAACAGGGAGAAGGTACCTCCGGCTCCTCTGCGGTGGGACCTGGGGTCTCAGTGGCGAGGAGGGGAGTGGGGTCCTTACCCAGGCCTCCAGGTTTCCCTGGGCCTGCGGTTGGCCCTGGGGCAGGGTGGGTGGCCGTCCGAGAGGACCCCTCCCTCCCTCGGATGTCCCTGGGCTTCACTGTTGTCCAGCGGCTTTTCTGGGTCTGCCCTGGGTCAGCCCGGTGTGCGGGGCCGTGGCTGCCCAGGCAGGGAGGCTGCAGCTGGGACAGGCCTCTGACGGGAGGGACTCTGTCAGGCCTGGCTATTCTGCCCTCCAATGGCGGGCGACCAGCTGCTGGTTTTCCAGAAATGCCCACGACCAGGAGCCCTCCTGGGCGGTCCGAGTCCTGCTCTCACCTGCATTGGCTGCCTGTGGAGAAGGGGTGGTTGGCAGCCGCCCTGTGGGCAGCTTCTCTACACCTGCACAGGAGCCCCTCCGCAGCCAGCAGAGCAGTTCGGCCACCTCCGGGCCTCCCTCCCCCTCGCCTCTTCCCCCACGTGACTGCCCTGCTGGGCTTGGCCCACTGGAGAGACGCACTGTGGTTAGGGTGTCATCCGCCCTGGACGCGCCCCCTTCCAGGGTCTGATGGAAGCAGGGACCCCTCTCCCTGGAGAAACTCACGAATTCAGACTCAGCCTTAGTGTTAAACAGCCAGGAGTCCCCTTCTGGTGGCGCCGAGGCAGGTGGGGCAGGGAGCAGACCTCTGCCCAGGGGTCCACGCTCTGCCTCTCCCGCGGACCAGCACGTCCTGCTGGGCCTGCGTTTCCAGGAGCTGTCCTGGGACCACACGTCCCCCGAGGAGGAGGAGTCTGTCCTGTGGCTGGAGTTCGATGGCAGCAATGAGGGCACCCCCGTCAACAAGCTGCTCAAGATCTACTCCAAGCAGGTAGTGGGGTGGCCTGCACTGGGGGTGGGGCCGGGGGAGGCTCGGCTCAAGGGGTCCCAGCCTATGGGAGACTGCAGGCTGGCAAGGAGGTGAGAGGGCCACTGAGGTCCAGGGGACCGGGGCGCTGGCTTCTACTGGCCTGGAGCCACCCTCGCGAGTTAGCTGGGCCTGGTCTGGAGTGTCACACACACCGGTGGCAGCTGTGTGTTGAGGGCTTCCCAGTGCTGTGCGACCACCCCCGCCAACGCCCTCTGTCCTTGAGGCCCCTGAGGGTTGGCTACTCTGAGATGAGGGGCAGACACAGAAAGGTCAGGGCCCTCTGCACCTGCAGCACCTTCATCTACTGTCCAGTTCATTCAGCACCAGGTCTTCCACCTCACCCCCAACCCGCCCCCTCCCCTCCTCCTGGAGAGCTGCCCTCCCACAGGGCCCGTCAGGATGGTGTTCCTCTCCCCTGTCCTCTCAGCCCCTCTGCAGGTAACAGCGCTCAGGGACTGTCCCTGAAAGCACACATCCCACAGCCGCCTGCCCCGCCTGGGGTCCCTAGACCCTGCAGGCTTTCCACTCTGAGTCTCCCTTCCCGTCCCTCAACCCTTTGCAGCCAACCTGCTCCCTGCCCTCCCCCTGCCCCCTGTCCTCCCCCTGCTCCCTGCCCTCCCCCTGCCCTCCCCCTGCCCCCTGTCCTCCCCCTGCTCCCTGCCCTCCCCCTGCCCTCCCCCTGCCCCCTGTCCTCCCCCTGCTCTCTGCCCTCCCCCTGCACTCTGCCCTCCCCCTGCTCCCTGCCCTCCCCCTGCACCCTGCCCTCCCCCTGCAACCTGCCCTCCCCCTGCTCCCTGCCCTCCCCTTGCACCCTGCCCTCCCCCTGCACTCTGCTCCCTGCTCCCTGCCCTCCCCCTG